CAAACAAACATGTTCACGCACAAACACACACACACAAATGAACAAGCAAATATGCCTGCAGAATATGTGATACTAAGCGTAGAATTCTTCAAAGTTGGAATCTGAGAAATGCTAAATATTTGATAAACAACAACAACATCAATAAAAATGAAAATAACAACAACAAAAACAACAACTAAAATAGTATTATTATTATTAATTATTAACACTATTATTTATTATTATTACAGTTTTATAACCGTTTATTATTTTTGTTATTCAGAATGAAAATAATTATGAAAATAAAAACGCCTGTGAACTCGCACGACGTGATAAATTGCGAGAACATGTTACATTTAATGTAGCGTTACAAACAACAACAAAAACAACAACAACAAACAAGACACCACCAATAACAACAATAATAACAACAACAAAAAAACAAGACACTAACAATAAAAACAACAACACTTATAACAATTATAATAACAACAAAAAACACGACACTATGACAAAAAACAAGACACCACCAACAACAACAACAAACAAGACACAAACAATAACAACAACAATGATGTTAAAAACGGCAACACCTTAACACGCATACATTTAAGCGTACACACAAACACATAAACAAACAGACAAACATAAACAACAACAAGGGCAAGAACATTATAATATCATATATACGCAATAATAATAAATAATAATAATAATAATAATAATGATAATAAAAAAAGAAACAGAAAGTAATAATAACCATTCTTGAATCAGAATTAACGACAACAATAATAACAACAAACAAATGAATTGCACAGCGACCGACCAGCTTGAACACGCACACACACGCACGCACACACATACATACACACACATACCTACTCATATACGCACGCACGCGCGCACACACATACATACACACACGTTTCACGTATGTTGAAATATTTCACATATTTAAATTACAAAAATAAATTTTTTATTCACACAATTGTAACAACCATAATAATAATAATGATAATAATAAAATATATAATAATATTTATAATTATAATTATTATAGAGCGAAAAATTATTTAATTTAATAAATAAACGACTACATTTCGTCAATATTTTTATCGTTAAGGATGTATTTTGGAGTGTTGTCATTGTATCTGCAGTTATACTATTATTATTAATATTTATTATTATTACTATTATTATTATTATTAACCAGTATTATTAGTAACAAAAGTATTAATTATTTAATTTATTTACAAATTATCATTACAAGATGTCTCTATGCTATTTTTAATTGTTTAAAAATTTATAACGCGAGAATTGTTCTAGAGTGTGAATTGACGAATTGTATGTATGTATGTTATTATTACACGTTATCTTCTTCATCATCAGGCTCATCATCATCTTCTTCATCATCTTCACCATTATCTTCATTAGCTTCATCATCTTTGACCTCGTCACCATCATCTTCTTCATCATCTTCATCATCATCATCACCATCATATTCACCGTCATCTTCATCATCATCTTCATTATCATCTTCATCATCATCATCACCATCATATTCACCGTCATCTTCATCATCATCTTCATTATCATCTTCATCATCATCATCACCATCATATTCACCGTCATCTTCATCATCATCTTCATTATCATCTTCATCATCATCTTCACCATCATCTTCACCATCATCTTCACCATCATCTTCACCATCATCTTCACCATAATCTTCACCATCATCTTCACCATCATCTTCACCATCATCTTCATCACCCCTAGAAACGACCCAGATTGAAGATCCGAGAATACAGTGGAAGAGAGAGCAGGAAAGGATGCTCAGAGAATACCTGGAGAATGCGTGCCTCGATCTGAAGGTAATGATGATGATGATGGTGATGATGGTGGTGATTACGGTGATGATGAAGACTTTATTTATGATAATGTTAATGAAGATGACTGAGATTATAGTCGTGAAGACGATGTTTGTAACGATTGTGATGATGATGATGATGATGAGGATGATGATGATGATGATGATGAGGTGGATGATGATGATGATGATGAAGATGTCAAAGATAGCGATGGTGATATTTTTGTTTCTTTTAGATTAGTGAGAATTCATCCACATTCACTCCAACCCATCGTTAACATTCCTGCCTTATCAATGTTGTTCTCACCACAAAAAAAGAGAGGAGAGTGAGAGACAATGAAAGAGAAAAAGAGAGAGAGAGAAAGATAGTTAGAGCTAGACATGCCTTATATAAGCAGACATAAGTGTATCCATTACTCCATTACTTTATTTTATACATTTCTCGTTTTATTATACACCGTCATCAGAACCCCCAAGTAACCGTCTTCAACTGCAACTTCCTTATCTCATGATCATCATCATCTTTTCATTGTTATCATCATCATCGTCGTCGTCGTCATCTTCATTTCACTGTCATCCTCCTCCTCATCATCATCATCACCACCACCATCATCATCACCACCACCATCATCATCATCACCACCATCATCATCATCATCTACCAGACAAAAGAAGAGACGTACTCATTGAAGCGTGAACGATTGGACTTGGCCAGTGAAGAAATGAGGACATGGATGAACAAACTGACCACCACCTCATCATCATCGTTATCATCATCTGATGGCAACAACAACATCAACAACGACAACAACATCAACAACAAATATAACATTAATAATAACGACATCAACAGGGACACCGGCACAAAGGAAGCCTGCACTCTTGCATCAGTGACATCAACAACATCAACTGCAATGAAGTACGATCACGATGTTTTAAAAGCGGAAGTTGAACAAGCAAAAATACGTGTTAACCAGCTTAAAAGTGAACTCAAACGAATGCAAACGGAAGTACACTACTCAAGAAAAGGGATTGAAACACTTGAAATGTTTGTCATTATGTTTCTTATTATATTTCTTTCTTTGAATTCGAACACGGTAATTGAAATGCGGAGCCAGACATCTTGCTCACTATGCTATCATCTCGCCTGTCTCTGTCTGTGTTGATATTTTTTAAATTTAGTTAATAAAATTTTTGTCACCAGGGTCAACAAACAATTGTTGATTAGTGAAAAATGTGAAGACGTTAACGTAAGTGACGCCGGCGAGATGATGAAGAAAATTAGGAGTATGAATCAGTCGGTCAAGTTGGGGGAGAGAGAAAAGAGGAAACTGATTGAGGTTAGGATTGGTTGGCCGGGGATAGGTTTGTTTGGTCAGGGGTCAGAGGTTGAAGGTTATTCTGGGTTCGATCGATGTGTTTGATTGGTTGATAGAATGCTTTGTTGTTCAGTTACTTGTCTTAAAATAATGCTTTAGTCTGACAAAAATGGAATGTGTATTTTTCATTTTCATGAATCAGTTTTTGAGGGGATCAAAAGAACACTTATTACCTGACCAAATAATCAACAACAACAGCAGCAACAACAACAGCAGCAACAACAAAAGCAGCAATAACAGTAGCAACAATAACAACGTTCCTCCAGCTGATATGAATGTAGAAGTGAGTAGAAAGGATGTTATTTGCTAATTTTATTGACTATTCTAAACAGAAACACAAATAATGGGGCAAAAAATAAAAATGAAAAAAAAATAATATTTTTAAATGAAATTATTAAAAAACAGGTTTTACGAGAAATATTACAACTTATTCTAAGAAAATTTAAAACATTCAAAATATTTAACAACCTTTGTTATCTACGTAACTCAGTTTATTATGTCCCTAATAAGACTAATAAGACATGTTTAATTATAAATGTCGTAAAATATTTTGGAGATTTTGTAAAATTTTTTAGGGAAGTTGTATTCTTTCTTGTAAAACCTGTAACATACTACTTTCTACAGATACAGAGCAAAGTAACTCATTTAGCAAAGTTGAAACTGGATAATGACCACCTGAAAAGTCAGATGCTTGACCTCGAAAACCAATTAGCCGATGTCGATAGCCGGTTTTCTCCTAACTTCATCCAATCAGAATTCAATAGGTCACCTCTATGATTGGCTGACTGACTGATTAAATGAATGAATGAATGATTGATCGATTAATCGATTGATTAAATTGATTGATTGATTAACTGATTGACAAAAATATAACTCATTATGTAATAACATATTAATTCAACACTCACTTGCTAACATTGACAGACTGGCTCTATTAAAAGAAAAAAATGACTTACTGCAAGAGCTGAAAACTAACAAGACATCAGCGGCAAAAATGAAGAGGATCCAAATGCTGGAAAATGACCTGCAGCAACAAATTCAACCTCAACTCGTCAACAAAGAAAAGTTATTATCGTCGATAGACTTTTTATCTACCGATACCCTCATCATCAACATCCTTTCCGTCATTTGCGCCATTATCA